ATTCGTGGTTGGTATGGTTTGGTGGGGGGGGTGGGGGGAAGTGCGTCTGGATTTGAATATTATGCCCTTTCCAGCTAACTCTCAAAAGTTTTACTTAGTGACTTAAATATCTCAACAGTGTACTTCATAGATGAAATGTATACATGACTGGGGAAAGTGTGGACTGCAGCTGGGTCTAAGGATTCCTGTACTCGTCCCTGTGCTTATGCTACTGTCATGTTATAAAAAAGTAAGCACCTTGCCTCTTAAACCCATTTTCTTTTGTTCTTTCCCCACCAATCTGTATGCATCTTGGGTTTCCACTGGTCCTTGAACATTCTTGGACTAAACCTGCCTCTGCAGTCTGCCAGCTCTCCTCCTCACTAAACGTGCTATGACAAGTACAGCCTTTCCTCGAACTCTCTTCACTGAAACTGGTTTTGCCATTGATTTTTTTTATGGGTGTTTTTTTTTTTTTTTTTTTTTTGGGTTTGGTTTGGTTTATTTCCCTGCCAGGTTCTAGGCTATGCAGCCATTTCTCCTCTTTCTTGATCTCCTGCTGGCTTCAATGATTACCACAGTTCCTAAATTTCTTCCCTCCTCTGCATTTTAGCGCATCCTTCAACTTTCCTCATGGGGTGATTCTGGAGATTTCTCTTGCTGAGTCCTATCTTTCTTCATTCAGTCTTTTCTCCAGCTGTCTGCAGTCGTTAAGTGCAGATACCAGCACATTCTGTTATTTTGTGGGCCGGAAGCACAAAGTTATATTCATGTGTGTCTCTTTCTGAGTTTTTAATTAACTTTGTATCTTTTCATGATGTGCACTCACGCTTGTCAGTGTCTTCCTGTACACTCGTAATCCTCCTTGGACAATTTTGTAAATCCACTACCTCTTTTTATTTAAAATATTTCTTGAGACACGTTTCTGTGAAGATAACAAATTTTGTAGTTAGTCTAGGCACAGTAGCCATAATTTTACTGTTAACGTGTCATGTTCAACTCCATGCTAGTTATCATTTGTGGCCATAGCCTTTCCTTCTGCAGATGAGCCCCCAATACAAATTTTTCAGTGCTTAAATACTGTTTTGCATCAACAATAGGAGATTATGCAAGACACACACAAAAAGAGAGATGGAAACCTCCACTGTGTTTTGAAAGCAAATGGAAAATTAATCACATTTGGCTGCTTCTATTTGGGTACATCATTTTACTCTTGGATATGCAGATATTTAGGCAACCTTTACCTGTGTAATGATTTAGTAACTCATAGGCAGTTGTTGCTAACTAGATAAGCACACTAATTTACTAGGAAAGTCTAACCTTGCAGACGTGTTTAAAGGAGTGTGACTTTGAAGTTCAAATTATGCTAAACCTTGAGTCTAAGTTCGTAATATATTTAAGATACAATACAGTGAGGTGCATAAAGGCACATAAGGTAGCTGATCTGACATAATTTTAATTAATACTATTTCTCATTATGAATGGAATTAAATTTATATTTCAGTATAAGGAAAGACTAGATGCAAGATAAGTTTTAAAAATATATATATAATTTAGGTCATTTGTGACATATTTGACTGTCTTTTCAAAATCTCCTCTTATCCCACTTGACTAAATAGATAGTCTTGTTGATATCAGCTGATCCTGACTTGCTCACTTTTGTTAATGAATTCTATCTCCCTTCCTAAATCGCCTGGGCAACTTTCTGTGGTGTGCATTCAAAGAAAATTATTTTGAACCTTGAACAGTTTCTTAGAGCTAAGAAATTGTAGCTCAAGTATTCTGATTTTCTTTGGATCCTTATGGTAATCGATGGTGTGAACTAATTACAGTATGGACCTATCAAGTGATGATAATTTCTGTACAAGGAATTGGCTTACATTCATTACAAGAACTTATCTGTCTTGTTTCTTTTTAATCCTGCAGATGTATTTGGTGATTTTTCCAGAGGGGACTCGTTACAATCCAGAAATACCAAAAGTCATTGCAGATAGTCAATCATTTGCTGAAAAGGAAGGTAAGCAAAAGAAGTTTTGAAATCATTCTTTTGTTACGGTGTTAACATATGTTATATAAAATCGTTATATAATATGAAGATGCTCTGACCTTAACTGGATCATTAAGCCTGCCTGATTGATATTTAAGGGTTAGAATAGCGTAAATCAATGTTTCTCTTACTACTGTCGTGGTTCAAGCCCAGCTGGCAACTTGGAACCACGCAGCCGCTCGCTCACTCCCCCCCTTTTCCTTCCTCCCCCCGCTCCCGGAGGGATGGGGAGGAGAATTGGAGGAATGTAACTCCCACGAGTTGAGATAACAGCTCTCCAGTAACTAAGGTATAATACAAATCACTACTGCTACCAATAATAATGATAAGAGGAATAACAAGGGAAAAGGACACAACCGCTCACCACCTGCCGACCGATACCCAGCCCGACCCGAGCAGCGATCTGGGCCTTCCGGGTAACTCCCCCCAGTTTCTATACTGGGCATGACGTGCTGTGGTATGGAATACCCCTTTGGCCAGTTTGGGTCAGGTGTCCTGTCTCTGCTTCCTCCTGGCTTCCCCTCCTCTCTGGCAAAGCATGAAACTGAGAAAGTCCTTGGTCAGAGTAAACATTACTTAGCAACAACTAAAAACATCGGTGTTATCAGCATTGTTCCCAGACTGAAAGTCAAAACCACAGCACTGCACCAGCTACTAAGAAGGAGAAAAAATGACTGCTGTAGCTGAACCCAGGACACTACAGAGTAAGATGAGAGTAGCGTATATGCAGACATTTCATGCATTTCACATTGTGCAAGACTATTAATTCTTACGAAAGCTCTCTTTAGTTTCTGTCTATATGTGCGTATTTATGGACACTTTTTTTCTTGCCCTTCAGGGACATAAGAATTACCTACACTGGATCAGGGCACTGTTCTATCTAAGGTGACATTACAATTACAGTTGTTACTTGATATAAAGAATATTTTGCATAGAGATTGTTGTGCCTTAAAAGTCTTCCATCACTTCATTTCCAGTTAGTGTTAGTAGTACCATGGCTTTTTGGTTTTGTTCCTCTCTCACTTTCCACTTTCACTCTTCCTTGGTTGTACTTTTTTCTATAGTTGCTTTGATTGTTGGCATTGTCTCTATAACCACAGACGGAATTACTTCAACTTTGGAAAGACTTGCAAAAAATATAAGGATCCCAAGCCTTTTCATTTTTTCTCAGATCATATGCACAATACGTGTAAACTTTTAAGTCCAGCAGCTCCATGAACACGTTTCCTGGTTTTGTTTTTTCCTGTTGACCAAAAGTTAAATAATTCGCTCTGAAGATAAAGAATAACAAATAGGTCTGGTAAATTCATTTCTGTGACACACTGAAATGAATTCACAAGTCTATGAATCAGCCTGTTGATATCATCAAGCTATTAAGTATTGTTAGCTCTTGTCCAAAAGGATATATGCTTTTCTTCTCCTCCTTGGGAAGAATGGAATTCGTTTGCGTGTATGAGCAGGAGAGCTTAAATCATAATGTATTTATTCATTGCTTCAGTTTCCTGTCGGAAATGAAAGTCAAATGTTTCATTTAGGCTGGTGGTTCTTTGAGAGTTTAGAGGGGGTGTTTGATGGGGTTTTTTTCCCCCCTTCTCCTCCTTTTTCAGGGAAAAGAAAGGGCTCTTGTCATTACTGTTTAAATAAACTTCTTAACTATATCTCTACAATCTGCAAAACAGTAAAACACTGCTTTTGTGCTTTTAGAGCATCTATTCATTTCTTCTAGTGTTTTTTGGTGGGTTTTTTTCCCATTATCAGACTGCTTTTATTTTCTAAGTTACTCCTCTTAAAAACTCTCAAGACAAATACATGTTAAACAAGAAGCATCTCCAATTCTAGTTCAGAATCCTCTTGCTCTGCTTTTCCCCACTGCTGAATTCTTTTGGTCTCTCCTCAACATTTTGTATGGAGAGAATGGGAAGCAGTCTGCGTGGGATGCTGCTTCCCTGCATGTTCATGCAGAGGCTGATATTCTATGATTCACTTGACTTAGAACATTCCTTGTACAAGCACGCTGAGAAGCAGAGGTGGCTGACACTGAAAGCTGCGTAACCAAACTACTTTGACAGCTAAGAGCCACATGGCATATGCCAGGACATCAGCAGAGGTGCGAGGATGGGGAACTCTGCATGGCCGCCAGCAGGAGATGATGATGAGTCCCAAGGGTCCTGCTCTACAGTGCTGCTGGCCCTGGCCTGTGGCTTCCACCCAACAGACCCAGTGCCACCACAGTCCTGACTGCTGGACACGTGCTAGGGCTGCACCATGGGAACCATGACAAAACCCCTCACCAGTTGATGGTGTGTAGACTGAGTGCTGGCCGTGCTCCTTGTAAGAGTGCGAGGGCTGTTATGTGATACTGCTGAGCTGAACTAAAAACACACAACTGCTTGCTTGTCTGAAAGATCCTGGAGACTTCTTATTTCTTACAGTATTAGGAAAGATAGTAATGCCCAGCAGTTCTGCCAGTCAGAAGAATGTGGACGTACTGTACCTTGCAGTTTAAAATGTGCACTTCATTTCCTCATGGGGTTATAAAGATGTCTGATAATTTAGTCTTCTCATCTTAGTATATTTGTTACAAAGCACAGTGTGTCAGCGTTGGCTTTACAAACATGTAGGAGATTTTTGTGCTTCTTTTAAGAAGAATTAAACTTCAAATTGATCTTAGGATCGGAGATGTTATACCCAAAGATAACAAAACTATTCCTAGAGCAGAAGCATAACTCATTTTTATCATGCTGTCTGAAATAAATTTTTTACATAAATGTGTTTATATGTTACAGTAGTTTTTCAGAGAGGAAGGTTTTGTGGTGTTTGTGTTTACTTCTACACTCCATGGGCTGGATTGTCTTCTAGAGAAGGTTCATCGGTTGATGCAGAATTATTGGGCTGAACTTAATTACCTGGTCTTAGAGTGACCAGCTGATGAGTTGCGACTCATGTCTTGATGTTCTTTTTAAGTAAACACCAGTTTTGAACACAGTAACTGCCTCTTTACAGCTGGTCCTAGGACCAGTTCAACAAAAATAAGTTAAAAAAAAAAAAAAATATATAAAAAAAGGAAAAGCTTAGGTTGACATCCAAAGGAATATTTTGACCTTTTGCTGGTTTCAACTATTACGCCTTTCTTCACTGATAATCTGTTTAGGAATAGGATGGAAGGATATCACACAGCAAAAGAAATTAAAAGTGATTGAGGTCAGCCTTGAAAGACAGGCAACTCTTTTAAATACTGATAATACTTCATGTTACAGTTTATTCTGCCATAAGACTTGCGTTCTACACAAAATCTTGACTCGTAGCAAGAGCAAGTGGTTTTCCTCATTCTGAAGCAGAGGCAAATCAAACACACAAGGTAGATCCAATATATCTGGGTATGAGTAAGTTGAGACTGAAGGCTATAAAGCACAGAGAAACTTCCAGAGAAGGAGTAGGGCCATGTACTTTTTTACTATTTTTAGAAAGAAATAAATGGTATAATACAGTAAAAAAATAAATCCATGGACTGGTCTTTCAAATTTGTCATTAACTGCCTTGCCAATTTCAAGTTCAATGTACTGCCAGATTTTTATCTATTGAAACCACAGAATGCCAAAACCATCTACCAGGAAAAAGTGATAAAATTAGGGCATTAATATTCATAGTTTTCGTGTTGGATACTGACACATATGTATCAGCGTTCAGCACTGATACATTTGAGACATTAAAACTCCACTCTAATTAATTTGAACTCTATCGTAAGTTCTGTCCACAGTTGTACTCAGTAATGCTAGTACCCTCAGAAACTGAAGATTACTCATCCTACATGTCTTACAAGTGGCAGAAAACGCCAATCAGATCAGATTCTAACCCAGGATAGAACGTTTTAACTCAGAATACATTTGTTAGTTTGCATTGGGAAAGGAAAAATACGCTTCCTAAAGTTCAAAAACAACAACAAAAATTACCTGTCTAAAACTAAGTTGCTTGGTTATTTGTGAAAGGATTCATGCAGGGGTTATTCATAGTACAAGGTAAATTCTGTGGAGTTGAGAAAATTAGTCTGGTATTTGTCTTTGTTGGCCAAAATAGCAATATTTGCTGGGGTTTCACAGCCACAGAAAATGACAAAAGCAGTGTGTGCAAAGATGAAGACGTGTCAGGTTTTCTCATTTCTCTTGGAGACAAATGAAACCCCCACTTCCAAACCAATGGGGATATGTGCCATGTAGTTGGATTTGAACCTGATACACCTAGTTATCCTCTCCTGATGAAAAGTAAGTGTTTGTGTGAGGTATTTCAGCAATTGCTACCAGGACAAGTGCTCTCCTTTTGTGTTGTAGTGTGGTTGGTGACTCATGTTTTCAGTGGGATGTCTTGTAAGATTCTCATAATAAAATTAAATATCTCACCCTCTACTGTCTCAGAGATCTAAGAAGATGACAGAATATGTTTTGCACCTTGTCTTCAGAGCCTTTGCCTTCTAATTTCTGATATTTAAGTATAGAATCAGTAATCTTATCTTAGAATCCATTGTAGTTTTCCATTGTATGGGAGTAGTCAGCTACGTGATTCCTGGTATGAGTGACTCCTTTTGGGCTACAATCTATTAGTTTAGGCATTTAGAAGTACAGCGATTCTTCCACACTAGTCAGTGGGCTTGAGTTGCTGGGTCCAGGGAATTATAATTTGTAGGTGGCACTCATATTTTCGTAGGGATTTAACTCTAATTGTGTCATAACATTAGAAGTGATAATTATTATTTTATGTATTTATTTCAAACTGTAATTCTTTTAAGGCTGGTTCTTTTTGGTGGTAATGGACTATAGAACAGAATTTCTATAAGGCCCACAAAATACATCATTATAACTTTTCGTACAGCTTCTGGTATAAAATCCGTTCCGTTTTATACGATCCCAAAATATATATGTGTAGATTTCTGATAATTTCCTAGTAGTTAGACCTCTATAAAGTTCCAAACAACCACAAATTTCTCAGGTTTAGTAGAATATTAATTTTATCCAAATGTTAATAAATAGCATTTTAAAAATGTGAAAATAAATAGGAATAATCCAAAACCCTCCTACTCCTAATGTTACTAACTCTGAAAAGTCAACGAGAACTCGGTAGGAAGCTTGTTAAATTTAACTTGGCTTGCTTTTGCTGAATGAAGACAAAACAATCTTCCCTGGTGAAAAGCATTCATGGAATTTTGTATTAATGTTTGATTTCTAACAAAGGTCGTTTAACCAAGCAAACATTTCAGGTATTCGTTTATTATCTCCTTTGTTTTTATGCAGAAAAGTTGGTTTTTAATGCTAAGTTTATCTTGACTAGTATCATGCTTTCTGCAAAGATGTTTGTACATGCAGGATATGCTTATCTCAAAATTGCTTTTACAGGTCATGTAAAAAAGAGGTATTTCAACTAAGCTAATCGAAAATGCTTCCCTTCTAGATCTTGGCATTGTTTTTAGATTGTATTTTGAAGCAATCTGATGTATTTAATATCCATAAATGTTATTTAGAACTGTCTCTACAGAAAATAGCTTTTTTCCACATACTTTCATATAAGCAGGCTTGATGTAAAAGTGCGCAGTGAAATGTGGAAAGGAGAATATAATTTTAGAAAATAGTGGGGTATAGACACTGAGTAGCATTTGAGAGAAATACCATTAGGATGCAGAAGGGATTTCTGTTATTAAAAGTCATCCTTAGGGAATCAAGTTTATGAATACCTTGTATTTATGTAGATACCCATCACAGAAGAAAGGGTACTCAAGTGTGGTGTCTCCCATGTTTTTTTGTGGGATGGTCATAGTCTTCTTGAGGGTGTTACTTGCATTTCTGATACTTCAGTTCATGGAAACAGAAAACACTTTATCAGAGCATGCAATTTTTTAATACTGTCATCAACTGAATCCTATTAACATAAATCGATGGAATACAAATGGATTAGCTCTCCCACCATATGTCATCTTATAAGTCTGACCCTGTTTTTAATAAGTAAGGCTTCGATCACTGGAGGCATTCCAGAAGGCTCGTGGGAACTCAGTGCTGGATGAGTACTTGGGATACCCCATATAACTGCAAAGCTTTCAGTCTCATACCGCTAGTACGCACACATACACATACCAAAAAAAAAAAAAAGAAATCTCTTGAAATTAATTTTTTTTTACCCTGCTTTCTATTCTTTTATTACTGTCAAGTAACATGGTAACTCTGACATCCACTTTCAGTGAGCACATAACTTTTGTTGCTGGAATGTGGTAATGCTAATGTAACACGTGTAGGATAGTCTTCATTTAGAGATACTTTGCTTTTTTTTTTTTTTTTTCTTTTTAATTTTAAAATGTGGTGTGTGCACATCAGGGGTACAAATATGACCAGTGGAGTCCAAGTCTGAAAATGTAGATGGCCTGCCTGCATGAACAGTTCTTTGAGTTTTTGGCTTGCATGAAGGAAAGAGAGAGATCAATCTTCTCCATCGCGTTGTACTCAGCTATTATATATGTAACTTCACCCTGAGAGGTTAGATAAATTATGTTTTGTTTGGTGTTTTTTGTTCTTTTGTGTTTAGGTAAAAAAATCAGCTCTATAGATGTTAATGATTCGGGCCTTTGTACATCCCAAAGGGACCCAAACAAAAACCTTACTTTATTTTGTTCAGTTTTCTTGCAGACTTTCTGAAGTAATTCAACATCTTACTGTAGTCTGGTAAACAGATAATATTTGCAGTACCATTGCTCATTGTATTTCTTCAGATTTTCACATTATTTTCATATTTTTTAAATGTGTTTATCATTTGAAAGCTAACTAAAGCAAAGCTATAGCATTTTAAGGTAAGAGTATTGCATTATTAGGAATCTAATTCATTTTCTTTGGCATTTAAAATAAAATCTCATGACCTCAAATACTTCGACAGAGAGTTCTAACTTAGTATTGCACAACATTAAAAACAGTTTCAGCACAGTGTGTTTTGTGAATTGGATGCAGGCAGCTTGCCAAGGTAACTATACTGTAACTACTTGGGTTTAAATTCTGTTATGTTGATTTTAGCAAAGATCACCAAGTAATCGCAAGAATGTGTGGTTAATGTTTTTATAAAACAGATTATTTAAAAGGATGTGCTGAACTCCTGGTGTTTCTGCATATTTGTCATGCACTGGAGTGTTTCTGAATAATGGATTATGGAATTTATTGATTTTAATTAGATGCATATTCATTTTGTACTTAAACCTTCAAGAGTTCACTGGTAGCACATGGAGTAAGAGGGGCTTATTCTACAGTTCTACTTCACAGATTTTCACTGGCCATCTTAATCACCAAAATTGCCCATGGATTCAAAAAACTCAGCACAGAATAGTCTTAAATACCTAAATTAATTAATCTAGAGGATTCAGTTCTCACCGAAGTCTGTTTTCCCTTTTTCTTCCCCACAGTAACAGTTTGGTTAAGGGGAAGATGAGTTGGGCAGGAAAGGAATGACAGTGTTTTTAGAAGATGTTTGGGAATTTGGCTCAACAAGAGTTGCATTGAGTGTAATGACTACAGTAACATCATTGTTGACACCACACTAGAATATTCAGTGCTTCATTTACAGAGTAAACATTTGGAAACATAACATAATTAGCTGTTTGATGTAACAGTTCACAAGCTAAGAAAATACTACCACCATGTTATGCTTCAAAATATTTATATAATCCATATAACATTTTACATAGACAGTTATCACTGTTGCTGGTAAAGCTTAGAACAATGATTTCAGAGGGAGAGCTAGTAAATAACTTTTTATCTCTGTGTTCAAACAAGGTGATTATTAGCAAATGTTAAGAAATCAGGATAACCATTTATACTGAAATTTTCAACTCTAAGAATGTTAGGGCGATTTAGAGACTAGCATTATCTTACAGTGTTCAGTAGACATTTTCATAACTTTAGATTGAAGTATGCTTTGCCCAACAAGGGAGAGACATTCAGTACAAAATCAGGACATAATATCTTTTGAATTGATTTTGCAGGCAAGAGAGATATCAAAAGCAATACCACACTACTTTGGAAAAAATTCTGTTTATTTAACAGGAATCACTAGCACTAGTGGATGATTCTTTAAAAATGGGCTGAAGAGTAAGCTAGTGAAAAATAAGGATAGAAAGGAATAATGGGCATTTTTTTCTGATACTTCTCTTTGAGAAAGATACTCATCTTACAGCAAAATAGTGAAAATTTTTGTGTAATATGCTTTTTTTTCCTGGAAGCACTTTCAAGAAAGTGTGGAAGAGCTGTGTTCAGATCATGAAAAGGTTTTGGGATTTTTTTGTTTTCATTTTGAAAGTCAATGTATATTAAAATTCTGGAAATAGAATAAAGTTTGTACTTTTGAGCCCAGTGTATTTGAATGTTCTTAAGTATGCTCTAAGTGGAAGTGGTCAGCTGAAGCAACCATGGATATGAAATACTGTTAAGACTAGCAGAGTGCTGTTAGACCTAACATTCTTGTGTCCTTGATGTACCAATCTCTGTGCCTTGGCCTGGATAGTTAAAGACAACAGTTGATTTCTGTGACTATGGATTTGTTACTAGCCAAGTCAATTGTAAAAGGCCATCCACAGAGAAACAGAGATTTCTTCCTTGCTGTTGGTTCTCAGTGCTGTATTTTCTCCTCCCTTCTTAGTTTTCCACTGGGGTGGTGAGTTGAATCAGCTGGTGGTAGGGAGGTGCCAGAGCCATTCAAGGTCAGCAGCAGGAACAAGTGGGCAGAAAAGGGAAACAACTGCAAGGATAAAATGGAATGTCCTGGTTTCTGTAGCAATAAGTCATTGCAAGCTAGCATCTATAGTAGAAAATAAAGAAACACATTGAAATTTCTGATAGCATGGTAGCTTTGGAGAAATGTAGCACCCTGTTTAAGCACATGTAGTTCAAGACTACTTTGTTACTATAGGGCAGCGTTAGGATTCAGTATGTTGACAAAATTGGTTTGTCCTTTGGAAGTAAAATGCTGGATGGGCATTAGGTGTGCTTAAAATTATCTGTGCTTACTCCTCACTTACCAACTCTGTTTCTGGTACAGAATTTCAGGAGGTGATGTCCTGTGCATTTAGTATTTCTGGGTTAATTTTCTCTTTTTTTTTTTCTTTTTTTTTAAGTATTTTTACCTCAGATAAACAAACATAAACAGGAAAGAGAAGTGCTCTCATGAGCACTTACGCTTATGAGCCACGTATGCTTATGAACCATCCCTGCTTCTACAGCAGGGCCTGTAAAAAGGACTCTTCTGTTGAGCAGCCTTTTTGTCATTAATATCCTTTAGGATTTCTGTTTCATCTTGTACATGTGCTCAGTAGAGCATATGCAGTGTCCACGCATGCACGCTCTCTCTCTCAACTGAGAACTGAGATTAAAAATAAACCCTCTGTGATTTTGAGTTGAGTGCTGAAGTTCCTTCTCATGATGTTCCTTTTGTGAATGTAGTCTAATTTACTTTCACTATAATTAATTTTTTTTCCCACTCTAGGACTTGCTATACTAAAGCATGTGCTAACACCACGCGTGAAAGCAACTCATGTAGCCATTGACACAATGAAAGACTATCTGGATGCAGTGTATGATGTGACTGTAGCCTATGAAGGTACTGTGGACCACAAAGGGCAAAGAAAACTGGCACCATCTATGACAGGTGAGTGCTGCAGCCATATGTTTGTTAATACACAGAACCAACTTCAGGTACTTCATAACGCTATGAAGATAATCTCCACAGTGCTTCAACCATCTTACCATACCTTGGTAAGGCAGTGTTCATCAGTGACTAAGCTTTACAATAGTTACCTGTGGCTTCCCTTCCCCTTCAGAGTATATTTCCATAGTCAAATTCTGCATGCAAGTGCTCTTGGGACTTAAAATGAACTTGGGACCATAGGCAGCAGGTGCCATGTACCTTCGTATTTCTTCTAGCACTAGGATTTGACATCATCATAAATTCTCTCTCTTTGCCTCTGCTGTGATACATATGTGTACATGTGATCCAATTGCTGAAATGGATGCATTTTAAAGGGAAAATACTGTAGTAACAGTACACATACCTAGTAACATTACACATACCTAGTAACTTTACAAACACTTAACAGCACTTTGTGCAAGTTAGCCTCACTTCATTTCAAACCACATACAGCCCATTTAGAGAACGAGGGAAATTAGTATATGTTCCTCGAGTAATTGAGTAACCAGAAAATAAGTTATGGGGCTTCTGTTGTGGGGAACTCTAGGGCAGAGAGCTTCAAAGTTATCTGGTTTTTAATAATGCTTGGTGGTGGATAGAATTTTCTTCTTTTCTGTTTTGGTTTTTTTTTTTTCTTTTAAATAATTAATTTACCTGCACTGTCACCGGAGGGCTAGATGTCATCTTTCTTTCCATTTGTAGTTGATGTGTTACTCAGGCATGACTGTCTGTTACTTGTTGTCTCAAAGTGGTACTTCTGAGTCTCTTGCATTACTGATACCAAGTGTGGGGAAAAAACCACAGTGGTTCCACAGAGCTGTTCACATACTTTGGGGCAAGGGATCAGTGTTGACTGAGGAACCTGCAGGGAACTTACTAACTAACTCTCCACTCCTTGGCTGTCCCCGTATCCTGGGACTTGTTCCTGTTGCTGCTGAAAATAGTACACAGTGCAGCTGTTTCGATGTCACTTCATTAGGACGTGTAACTGCTTGAGGTGGTGCAGAGTTCACATGAACTCTTTTAGGTCCTAGTTGCTTAGAAGTTCTGTAATTGTCTATTTTTACATTTTCACCTTACTCAAAATTCTTCCCCATAGGTGAGCAACAAAACTGTTAACACCATATTTACTCACCACTTGTGTTGTACTGTAAGGTCTTAAGATGGTTTTAAGTATGTTTTGTGCCCAATAGGCATTTTTTATTGCTAAATATCACAAGTGCCTTTTATGATATAACAGTTTTTATTTATCATTTTCTTTTGAAGTTGATTTTACAGATTTTATTAACGTTTTTAATGTTAGGGTTTCTAAATACCTTATGACCCTCTTAAAGACTCCTTTGAAGACAAGGCAACCTCCCTCTTGTCCTGTCACCCAACCCTTTTCAAGACCCCATCAAAACAAATAGGATTGTTTCCATTCCCTGCAGCATATCTTGTTTCATGACTTAATTATTAGGCGATTTCAACCATTCTCATGCTGGACTTTTCACTGCCTGATGGTTAATTAAACTATTAAAATGTCATTACCTAATGATAAGATGGCAAATGTTCAAATTCCTGGTAAGACCTTTTCACCTATTGAACCTTCCAGTTTGCATGAAGTATGATATAATTATGGAAAGAGAACCAATAAACTGAATTTCCCTGTTGGCTGTTTCTTGTTTCCGGTGTCAAGTGGTAATCAGATGGTTTGGGGTGCCTACTCCACAACCAGCCTTTTGGAGACTCCACAGCAGTCAGTCCAGGCATCTCTTTCAGAAACCCTTGTTGTTAGGGCCGGGGTAATTAATGTCTCAGCCTTGGGTAAAAATAAAGGCAGTAACACAGAATGAAGTGCAGCCAACCAGTTGTTACCCATTACCGAGTAGATAAATGAAATATCCATCCAGGGCATTCCATGCTATTGTGGCAGTCACATGTATTCCATATAATGTAAATTATGTAGATTAGGGACCCTTTATAAATTACAGTGTGGGACATAATTGTCATTCTTTTAGGCTCTCCAGACACAAAGTGGAAAAAAAACAGTTTCTGTTCTAAGAGGTGGAGATCATTTAACCATTTGTTATGCAGAAATCCAACTGTCGGTTTGGGAATAGAATACAACAAGAATTAAATTACACCTTGTTATGCATTTGACGTTTTTTAGCATTATTGCTCTTCTACAGTACTAAAACGAGTTATAAAATGTCGCTTTCGTGTGTGCATTTCATATGAATATTTCATATTCGTGTCTCTGCTGAATGAGAATTTTGGTTATCATTCTCATTGGAATAAAATGGCAATGCAATCCTGGTAATTTTTAAATGATAAGGTTGACATGTCTTTTTCAATCTTGCAACTCTGATTGACATTTATTGCATGGAAAACAAACTTGTGATAAACACAACTTTACTTGAGGACTGTATTTCCCATAGCATGACATTTCCCATGTGAATGAAATATGAATTCCACACAGATATAATGTGTTTCTTGAAATGCATTTTACTTTCAGTTCTCTCAATCTCAATTTCTCAGAAGAGCCCATGCCACTTCTGGAGAAACCCATGCTTACTGAGGGATATGGTTAGATCTTGGCTGCTGTCTCCCGTAGTAAACAGAGCAGGTTAAAAGGAACATTTTAGTGACTGTGAGTAGTGCTACCATGCTTTATCTGAGAAATTGTCTTAGTAAACTGTAAATGGGAAAAAGTCTTGAAGAAAAAATTTATTACATTTTAAATTTAGGTTTATGGAGCTCTTAGTGCAAATAGCTTTTCTTAGCAAAATTGGATTTCGGGTTTTTTCAGTCCAGTGAGCTTAAATATCATAATGTCTACATGCTCAACAAGATTAAATCAAAACATAGTATACTAGTAGCTGGAATATAGACATTCATATCCTTTCTGTATTAGTGCTTTGCAAAGAATGCCAGGCACACCTGATAATGGCGTACCTTTTTAGAACAGGCAAATTATTATAGCATATCCTATATATATCCAAATGTGTTGAACTTTTTGTCACTATTTATGCATTTTAATGTTTTCCAGCTGCAAGTTGTTTGCTGTAGAATACATCAAATTTGATTAGTCTTAGACTAAGATCAGATTAGCTTTAGACAGGGATGCTGCTTTCTGCTATTGCTTGACATCCAGTTGTGACCAGTGGATGCAATCTTTTTCCTACCATTTATTAATTATTCATTCCAACAAGTTTGGACCTTGGTATGTTTCCAGTGGAAGCTTGACCTACACATGGCAGCCTTTCCAAAGAATAGTGATTTCCCACAGATTTCTCCCCTCTCACTACAGAAGATGTTTTGTCCGGACCATTAATGACAGAATATGATGGTCCTGCTTAGGGAAGACCATGCTGCTAGATGGTATTTATTTGTGGCCATTAGAATAAAATGCAAATCATGTGGGTGCTGTGGGGTACAGCAGAAGTGCCTCTCGGGTACTGAATTCTGTAAGAACTATGTAGAAGGGGAAAGGAGGAGGAGAAACTCGTGCTGGATTTGTTGATACTGCTTTACTACACTGTCATTAAGTAAAAAGTAGAAATAAGCTTGAGAAGAAAGAAGGAGAACCTAGTTTTCTCCCTTCTGAGTGAATGTCCTAAGCATTCACATCCAGCTTTGCCGGGTGTTAAGGGGCAGGTCTTGTGGGACGTGGGAACTGTTGTCATTCTTGCACCTGAAAGAGCATTATGTACATGTCTACATCTTTATTATTCTGCCTGAAGGCTTTAGCATAACCAGATGGTATTTATCTGGCCATTGTAGATGAAAAAAGCAGCATGTGACAATGATAAACACTGAATAAAAATAGCAAGTACATGTAGACTCTGTCTTAAAGAAGTCAGAGGAATTCCTGAGAATTATTGACTCTGCTGTATATCAATTCCAGAACAAACACTTTGAAAGCATGTGTATGTGTGCATTTATGAAAATCTGTACATCACTTTGATCAGTACAATTTGAGGAGGTCATACTGGCCTAACTTCCCTAGGGGAAATTACACTTTTCCAAAAGCTTGCAGTTTTGTTCAGACCCAGTTGAACAGCGAAGTATAGGACAATAGAAAAGAAACTGGAGCAATAGAAACCAGTCTTTGCCTGGACTGTGGCCCAGATTTGATCACATCCATTGTCTTTCAAGGTCCAAAGAATAATAACAAGCACATGATTATAGATCCGTCGAAAGAATTAAAAAACTACATAAACCGATGAGCAATAAAAGGAATGTAAAACAGTCCAAAGTGAGATGTATAGTGATGAAATGACTAATAGACTGTTCAGATGTGCCATGTTCTTATTTTATGAAAGAATATTGAAAATTAAATGGCAATTATTTTAGAGCAAACGAAGAAAGGATGTAGATTAGAGCTGAGCTGGACATCAGCGTCGGTGATATTTGCATAAAGTGTGGGGTGGCTTTTAAATATGTATAGTAAAGCTCGCATCAAGAACTTGTCATTCTGTATCTGTTCAAGCAAAATTTAAGTAACTGCCTTTCCTATTTCAAAATGTAAATTTTCTATTGAATTATTTGGAGGAATTTTGATAACACTAGTTGGCTATACAGTTCTGTGGTATTCTCTCACACATTTTTCCTTTAAAGGAAAACTCTGGTTTTATTCTGTTTAAGATATTAAAATACAACTTTTTAAACAACATGATTTCATCAGATACCAGAAAGTAAGTAAACTGGCATTCCATTTTAAACTGAACGCATTTTCACCTGTCTTCTGTAGGACTAGATCTGTCATTTTAGAACCCCTGTAATTTCCTGTTGAAATCAGTTCAAATAACATGAAAGCCTATTTGTTAACTTGTGGATGACTTATTTGAAATGGCACTTTGAACACAGATGTGGACATATGCATCAATATTCTGTAGATAAGGATGGCCTGGGTAAAAGCAAAATATTTTAATACCGTAACGATTAAACAATTAAACATTGTATTTCTGCTTAAAAAT